TAATGCTTCTAGAACATGGCCATATAGCCTGAAAAACCTACAACAACCAAGTGATTCCAGCCATGAAAGCCTTCAACAATACAGAGCAGCGGTTAGCTTAAGTTGGGTTTGGGGGTCGTGTAAGGCTCCATTGTGGGCCATGGGAATCTGGTCCCTGAATATATATTGAGCCCCAACATGGTTTGGGTACATAGAAAAGCTATGAGACCTCCTTACACGAGTGCCACTCTCTCAGCCACAACAGAAGGCAGATGGCAATCTTCCACCGGATGAATCCGGCCCAAAAAAGCCATCTAAGGGTCAGTGTTGGCTTGAAGGCACAAAGCAACAATAAATGTGAAATGTTTGGATGGGTCCCTTCCATTCCATTGAAAGTTTGCCATGATTTGTAGATTTCTGGAAATGGGCATGAGGAAGCAGCCTTTGAATAAAGATTATGGTGATGGTGTGGCATAATGGAAAATAAACCACGTGTAGTTGGTTTATTTGATTGTTAGGGCAGAGTGAAGGTTTGAGGAAATAAGACAAAGAGAGTACTGGAAAGCCCGCTTTATTCTCGGTTGGCGCCAACCGGATATACCCCCTGGTAAACCAGGAAAGAAGGGTACCGAACAAAGGAAATGCTGAGTTTATAAACCTTTTTTGAAATAAGTATTCATGCATCATAGAAACATCACAATGTGCGTCACAAACCTCTACTATTTCACTGACTTCAATAGCATATTTTCAAAATCAACAAGTTGTCAATCTTCATTAGTGTACTATCTAAAGAGTGGCTATTAATGCACTTCCAGCGCCAGGATGTCTCTGGACCTGCTCCATCCATCCTGAGATAACATTCCTGAAACCTCTTAATGGACACTTCATTAGTCAAATTTATGATAAGGTGCCTGGTGCCTGGTACCGTATCTTAAGGCCTCTTGAAGTGCCAGGCACCACATTCCTTTCCTGGACGCTGGCCTCTAATTTTGCAGCTTTTAAGAAGTCAAGTGAAATGGCCATGCATACATACATTTCTCTTATATATTTTCTAACTCCTATTTCTAATATGGTTATATCAAATATATTTTCCAATATGTGTATTATGTATTTTCATCAAGCCTTCATCAAATCCCTCCTTTGATGCTCTGAACCGGAAGGGGAGGAGCATCATCTAACTAAAGCTAATAATTGCATTTCATCTTGTTTATCATTTATCATCTTAGATATGCATCTTTTCAGCATTTGGAAAATAATAGGCAGAATACATAACATCAGTAACACTACTAATAGGATTATACAGAAAGCAAAAAACAGTTCCTTTAACCATTGAATTGATGGTAGCCAGCTCGTGAGCCAATCAAAAGGGTTTGAAACTCCATGTGTGTTGTTTTCTATTAAATCTGTCATTTGATTTAGTTCATCCTTGATTGTTTTATTCAGATCATGAAATCTGACTTTGCAACCTTCTTTCATTAGTTTACAGAAACCTCCTTGTCTTGCCAACAAATAGTCCAGGGCCATACGGTGTTGTAAGACAATTTGATGTAACTCTTCTACTTCATTTTGCATGGCCCTAACTATGAGTCCTGTGGCATTTATGGATTTTTCCAATCGGCAGGTGAGGCCTAGGATACTCTTTCTATTTTCTTGGGCTACTATGCCTGGGTAGCTTCCAAGCATCAGTATGCCCGTTAGCAGACCTCCAGCCACTCAGCCTCCTTCTGTCTCAGACAATTGTGCTCCTATTATTACCTCATCTGAGCAGGCCGGGCCTAGGGGTGCTGATCTGTCTCGCTTTGTTCTTATGTGGCGAGAAGCAACCTGGACTGGGAATGTAAAGTATCCAATGCCTGCACACTGGTATCCACCTGGATGGAAATTTGAGGCCCAACCATCATAGAAAAACCATAAATTGGGATCATATATTTTCCAGTCATTACATGTAAGAATATCCCCTTCAGTTGTCATGCTTTTTCTCATCATTAGGGCTCTTAAGTCTTTCAAAAACTCTTCAAGTGTGTTGTATCGTTCCATAAACTGTGAAAATAACCCAAAGGAGCTATCTTTCATGATTTCATATTGTTTTCTGGCTTTTTTGTAATATTCATCCTCTCCCTGGGAGGGGTCACTGTATTGTTCTTGGAAATATAAACTGTGCCAATACCCTGATGCTTGAGAAGCATTATGTTTCCCATAAAGGTAAAACTTCTCAGTGCAGTGAGAGTAATTTTCCACATTGAGAAGGATTTCCCTCTCCTTTTCTGGGATACCCTTCCACCCTTTCCGATAACCTTCTGAATAATGACAACAAAAACATTTGCCAGGGGTGGTCTTTGAAGCCTTTATCATTCTATGCCGTAGCCCATTTAGAGAGGCAGGGGGGTTAAAGATTGTAGGTTTGCCTGTTTTCTCTGCTAAGAGAAGAGTGGCCAAAACCACAGCTTCTTCATTGATCAAAGCAGGCAAAAAGGAAAACTCACGTACTGTTTCAGGGTGTTCATATATCAGAGTGGCATTTCTCCCATATTGATCAAACATAAATTTGGCATGCTCCTTGAACCAGTTACCATCTACTTCCAAAATTGACACACACATTAACACACATATCACCCACAAAGCTTTCATTCTTCTGGAATCTGACCGTATGTAGAGCAACCGTTCCGGTAGGTTGCAATAGGGTCTAGTTCCGTCTTCTATCCAGTTGGGGTCTGACAGTGCGTAGAGCTTAGTCGCTTCCAGGTATGGACTTAAGCCGCAATGTCTAGCCCGTATCTTCTCATCCAACAGCAGGGGCAGATCTGACTGTACGCAGGGCAAGACAGCTTCCTGGTATGTGTCTTGCAGTATCAGTCTAGTCTGAATCTTCTTATTCACCAACGCCTCCCTTTTGGTTAGAACAACCAAAGTTTCAAGTTATTTTAAGCTTTAGTGGGTCTTTTGGGTCTGGAATAGCTTGCCAACTGGGAGCAGCCTTTTTAATTCTAGTCCAGTGAAGCCAAGGTTTGATTTCTGCTACCTTGACCGCACTGGGTGATGTAAGAATTACCACATAGGGTCCCTTCCATTTGGGTTGCAAAGTTTCCCCTTTCCAATCTTTAACCCACACCTCATCCCCTGGGTGAAACAAGTGAGTGGGGGTCATGTGAATGGGCGGCCTGAACTCATAGGCATACTGTCGTAGCTCTTGCAGTGTTTTCCCCAAAGCAACCATTTCCTGTCTCTTTGCCTGGGCCCCTATCTCATGCAGTTCCCCTTGCAATCTGGGAAACAAAGGAGGGGGCCTCCCATAAAGCATTTCAAAAGGAGACAGTCCAATGCTCCTAGTGGGGGTGCATCTAATATGTAACACTGCTAGAGGAAGAAGTTGAATCCAACTAAGTTCTGTTTCTTGACACATTTTAGCTAACTTAGTTTTCAGAGTTCGATTCATTCTCTCAACCTTGCCTGAGCTCTGAGGCCTATATGCACAATGCAATTTCCAAGTTATTCCAAGAACCTTAGCCAAGCTTTGAATGGTGGCTTTAACAAAAGCAGGGCCATTATCTGAGCCTATGAATGCTGGCATCCCATGTCTTGGGATTATGTCTTTCATGAGTGCTCTTGCCACTTCCGTGGCCTTTTCAGTAACAGTAGGGTACACTTCCGGCCATCCAGTGAAAGTGTCTACCATCACCAGTAGGTAGCGGTATCGCCCTACTCTAGGCATTTCACTGAAATCTACAACAATGGCTTCAAAGGGTACATTTCCACAATGCTGGATGCCTGGGGGCTGGCACGGTCCTTGGCGTGGATTGTTCTTAGCACAGGTGTGACACCTAGCTGAAGCTGCCATTGTCAAAGAGTGGAGTCCATCTATGTACAGTTGTCTTTCTAGTAGTTTAGCTAGCGCCATTTTTCCTAGATGTATGGACTCATGGGCTCCTTTCACTACCTCCCATGCCATGGTTCTGGGGACAATGATTCTTCCATCCGGAAAGGCTAACCAACCAGTAGAGTTCGCCAATTCTACTGCTCCATTGTCCTGGGCCCATTGTTGTTCTTCTTTATTATAGGTAGGCTGCACCTTGGGATTGGGCAAGGGGAGAAGGGTAGCCACCTGAAGGGGTCTGGCAGCAGCTTCTTTGGCTGCTGCATCTGCCCTTCGGTTCCCTTGTGCTACCGGATCTTGCCCTGGTTGATGTCCCTTACAGTGCATCACAGCTACTTGTTTTGGGGCCCATACAGCTTCTAGGAGATGTAATATCTCTTCTGTACGTTTGACTGGTTGGCCTGCTGCAGTTAAAAGTCTTCTTTCTTTGTAAAGTGCACCATGGGCGTGCAGTACTAAAAAGGCATACTTTGAATCAGTGTATATGTTAACTCTCTTTCCCTTTGCTATCTCCAGAGCCCTGGTGAGAGCAATGAGCTCAGCCTTTTGAGCTGATGTATTTGCTGGCAGTGGATTTGCTTCCAATATTTCTTTGATGGTAACTATTGCATATCCTGCTTTTCGCTCCCCTTCTTCCATATAGCTACTGCCATCAGTGTATATGGTGAGCTGAGCTCCTTGCAATGGAACATCAGTCAAATCAGGTCGACTGGCATATACTGTGTCCATTACTTCAATACAGCTATGATGTTTCTCCATATGGGGATCTATAGGTAGGAGGGTAGCAGGATTCAAAGTAGTGCATTGCTGAACCTTAATGTGAGGGTTCTCACATAACAATGTCTGGTATTTCAGCATTCTGGAGGTGGTAAGCCAATGGTGTCCTTTGTGCTCTAACAATGTCACTACCTCATGCGGGGCCTTGATAGTCAAATCCTGTCCTAGGGTCAACTTCTGGGCTTCTTCAGCTACTAAGGCAGCAGCTGCTACTGCACGTAGACATGGGGGCCATCCTTTTGCTACCATGTCTAGCTGTTTAGACAAATAGGCCACTGGTCGTGGCCAGAAGCCCAAAGTCTGTGTTAAAACGCCAATGGCTACACCCTCTTTCTCAGCAACATAAAGAGTGAAGGGTTTAGTTACATCAGGTAGGCCCAAAGCTGGCGCTGTCATCAGGGCTGACTTTATTTGCTGGAAAGCCTCGTCCTGTTCTTGTGTCCATTTAAAGGGTTCTTTTTCACCCCCCTTTGTAACTTGGTACAAAGGTCTTGCCAATACTGCATAGCCAGGAATCCAAAGTCTACAAAACCCTGCTGCCCCTAAAAATTCGCGGACTCTCTTCCTCGTAGTGGGGACTGGGATTTGGCAGATGGCTTGCTTTCGTTCAGTTCCTAGGCTTCTAAATCCTTGTTTTATTTGGAATCCTAAGTATTTGACCTCAGTTTTGCACAGCTGGGCGTTGGTCCTTGATACTTTATATCCCTTATGGCAAAGTAATTGGAGTAGCTGCTTGGTGGCACCCCAACTCTCTTCCATTGAGGTGGAGGCCAAAAGTAAATCATCTACATATTGCAAAAGGACAGTCTTTTCTGAGTCAGAATGAAAGTCCTCCAAATCTTTTGCTAGGGAAGTCCCAAATATCGTTGGAGAATTTTTAAAACCTTGAGGCAATCTGGCCCACGAATACTGTTGTTTTGCTCCCGTGGCTGGGTCTTCCCATTCAAAAGCAAACAACAGCTGGCTTTGGGGGGCTAACCTTATGGAGAAAAAAGCGTCTTTAAGATCAAGGACCGTAAAATGGGTGGCCTCTGCTGGTATGAGTCCCAATATCACATAAGGATTTGGCACAACTGGGTGCAAGGTAACTGTTGCCTTGTTGACTTCCCTAAGGTCTTGAACAGGGCGAAAATCATCTGTGGTACCTGGCTTCTTGACTGGAAGGAGGGGTGTATTCCATGGAGACTGGCATTTTGTTATAATGCCATGCTGCCACAGACGGTCCAAATGCTTTTGGATTCCCTTTATTGCTGGTCTGGGAATTGGATACTGCTTTAGACTGACTGGACGGGCTCCTGGGATTAACTCTACTACGACTGGAGGTATGTATTTGGCCATGCCTGGGGGGTTGTCTTCTGCCCATACCTCGGGAGTTTCAAACTTTTCCCATTCATTGTTCTCTGAGCCCTTTTTAACTACTAGCAGCCTCCATTCCTCCTCCATAGGGCAGGTGAGGTGCAAAAGGCCTGTGGTTCTTCCTACAGCCATCTTAGCAGATCCATCTTCCTCAAATGATAGCCTTGCTTTTAGTTTGCACAGCATGTCCCTTCCCAGCAATGGAACTGGGCAGTTAGGCATATATAGAAAGCTGTGGGTGACTTCTTTATTTGCTAGCTGACATCTTCTTTCCTGTAGAAAGGGTCGGAGACATTGATCTCCTGTTGCTCCCATAACTTTTATGGTTTGCTGAGTTATGGGGGCCAATGGGG